AACTCGGTGTAACTAGTGTACACGTGACTCATGTAAGAATATGTTATTGTGAATTGTACCACATTGATTAATTAGAGAATTTTGTTCATTTAATCATAGCCATTTTATTTCAAATTATACCTCAAATTTGGAAATATTCAATTGAGAAAAAAAAAAAAAATGTTCTACTATTCAAGACGTCTATGTACACATTTATTAGGTTTGCCAACATTATTTATAAATGCCAAAATTATCATATGGCCACTGTACCGCATCTATTAAAGAAGACAACAAATGCATGGTTGCATTTGCTCTCAAGAAAGTTGGTGGCATCTTTAATTCAATTTTGAAATTTCAACGTTATAGTTTTCTCATTAAATACCCATATTTTTAAATTAAAAATTTATACTCTAAAAGTTAATATAAATAAAAATATGACATTTCATAACATACATATATATTTTTGTTAAAAACATATGATAGGTGGACTAGCTGAATGGTCAAGTCGCTCCATACAATAATTTGTGTATTATGTTATATTCTTCTAATTATTGAAAATGTTTTGTGGTTGAACATATTAATTAGTTAGAAAAAGTTTAAATAAAACATAGAAAATGTTGATTTTATATATGATGGCAGTACAAAGAGAGAATATGAAGTTTTGTGAGGTATATGTAGAAGGTCTGTTAGCTGTCATCATAGTCAAACAAACATGAGTATAACTAATAATAGTCCTTGTTTTGTTAAAGTTTGATGAACATTATGTGACCTAACTTTTTGTCTGCAATCATTTTGGATTTCAAAATAACCCCAAACTCGTTTAGAACTCACACAAACAAGTTCGTATAAAATAACCTCTAATAACAAAAAGGGAAAAATGGGAAAGTAATTTAAATGGGAAAGTAATTTCCCTTGAATTGTAGATTGAAATCCAACTAAACTTAGGTATCATTATTCAGAATTTGATCACATATATTGCCTTAAAACACTAAATTTGTTTGAACTATAGTTAAATCAAATTAAATTGGATACCAAGAATTTGATCACTTATTTGCCTTAAAATTTGAATGTGAAATGTTTATGTCTCACGTTTTGTTTTCTTCCTTTCTAGTGTAGTTTCGTATAACAAATTTCTAAAGGTCATCTTTAACTGTTTGCACTATTTGTGTGTGTGTGTGTATGTGCAGCTTTTGCTTCATATTGATGCAATTACTGAACCAAACTAAAAAATCATCTCCATATTTTACTTCAAATTTTGCCCCAAAATAAATATTCCCTCAATATTCTTATTGATTTGATGACAATTGAAAAATAAAATCATTAGATTAAAATTAAATGTAAATTTATTTAAAAATTCCATTATATATATATATAGTGTGTGCGCGCTATGCAATCAATTGTTTATTTTTACGTTAAATCACAATTAAAATATTAATCTACAGTTCAATGTAAAATTTAAGATATTAAATACGCCAAATATGGCGTATTTTTGCAGTGGATACTACAATATATTGTTGGAGATGCTCGAATAACATTTTCTTTTTTTCACAAATTCTACAATGGGAGGACAGCTTAACAATTAGGTGTTAACCGTCACTTTTTATAAATAAAATCATTTTTATAAATAAATACTTACATTGT